CATTTTGTTTTCTTTTACATAGAAATTGTCTGTTTCTGTATCTCCCTGACTCTTTACACTCCTATTAACGGGCTGAGAGCTTGTCAGTAGGCTTTTCGATTCTTGTTTTCCCTTGAACACGACTTGCCAATCAGTTTACATTCAGGTACCCAATTACTGCTGGGTAAACAGGGGCATAAGGTTATGGATTAACGCCTAGTCAATCCTCCCTGGCAAGATCTCGTCGTGGTACTTGAGCTTCTTGTGTGATATGGGCGGTGAGCACAGGAACCGCACACTAGGACTTGAGATACAAATATACAAGAAGAGGCATTGGAATTCGAAGGTCAAGGTCACTCAGATGTTGTTAGAACTATCACCTTCCCTCGCTCCCCCTTCCGAACACTGCCATCCTGTTGCCAATCCTTGCCAACACCTCCACCTTCACCTGTATCAACGTCATTACTATTACTTGCGTCATTACCTCGACAAGCGCTTTCATCTCCACTTAACACCATCACCACCAGCATCACCACTACCACTAACACCACTAGCGCCATCACCACCAGCATCACCACTACCACTAACACCACTAGCGCCATCACCACCAGCATCACCACTACCACTAACACCACTAGCGCCAGCACCACCAGCATCACCACTACCACTAACACCACTAGCGCTAGCACCACCAGCGCCACCACCACCAGCGCCACCACCACCACCATTACTACCACCTGTGAGAAATATTTCTTCCACAATACCCACAGAGGACCAATATAGTGTAAAATTACGCCCCAAACAACCTAAAGTTTAGGAGCAACACCCTATAACATGCCACATAGGCCTCCATCATGCCATCTAAGACCAGTATCATGCCATAACATGTCTTGTGTTGTAAATAAACGGTAAAGTGTAGGCATAATCAAACTTTATAGGCTGAGGACGGTATAATAATAGTTTAATTATCCTCTCGGTACGCAGAACGGCTTCAACGATGTTCAAGAGAAGATCTAGTCCCGTTCCATACCTGTGCACGAGGTAATCAGGTTTGAAACGACTAATAAATGTTATTAGTAATTACAGTTACATATTAAATGGTCCTAATTGAACAGAAAATTTCCTCATGAGTCTAGTAGACAGGTTTAAATGTTATTCCTTGATAATGCCTACGAATTATTGCGATTATATTTTAATCGATGATCGTAATTCAGGCTAGCTTGCCTTTGTCGGATAAATTCCCTTTAAATATATAATTGAATTAATGATTTACTTAAAATATTGGAATACGCCAATATTTTACGTATAATATTTCAATATTATAAGTAAAATATTAAATAAATTTAAGTTTACTGAACCAACAATAAGTAAGATTAAATTTATTGATAAAACCCGACGCTGATAAAATGTGTCAGTATAAAATTTGCTTGAGCATCTAGCCGCACTGTGCTTCTCTCATCCGGACACTTGAACACCTTTAGTCGTCAGCCTCCCTCCCAGCACCTCCTTGCACCTTCCAGCATACCCCAGTATCTCCCAGCATATCCCTGTACCTCCCAGCATATGCCAGTATCTCCCTACACCTCCCAGCCTCTCCCTGGACCTCCTTGCACCTCCCTGCACTTCCCTGCACCTCTAAGCATTCCTTAACTAAGCTCTAACTTTCCTGTCCAACAAGGATCCCGCTAAAAAAACTTTGGTTAAAGCATGAACGTATATAAAAAAATGTTGTTCCTCTCCCTCATTGTACTTCCCCTTCTTACTGTATCTTCCTTTCCTCACTGTATCTTCCCTTCCTCCTCCTCCTTACTGTATCTTCCTCTCCCTCTCTCCCTCCCAAGGGTGTCATCCCCTTACTCTGCACCTGTATCTCCCCTCAGGTGCTAATTACCTGTTAGGTAGGTGAGGGTCGCGACGGGGAGTGATGAGATTGGCGAGTCGAACATGGGAGCCGGAGAGGAGGATGATATGGGTGAAGAGAAGAGTGAGGGGAAACGTGGGAGAGGTGGAGTGAGCTGAAGGTGGGAGGGTAAAGCTAGTAGATATAGTAGAAAGTTGTGTAAAGAAGCTGTAAGATAATGAATAAATAGGGATATAAAGAAGAATAGTATTTATCAGAGTAGAGGGAATATAAAGAAGAGTAGAGGAAGTAGAGAAAAAGATTATAAATAATATTAGAGACATAATTAGTTGGCAACAGGTGGAAGAAAATAAGCAATAAATCTAAAGATTTAGGAAACAAAACTTGCTAGAAAACACAGTAGCAAAACTTGCTATCAAATACAAGCAAACACTCGGAAACACTTGCCAGCAAACAAAGCAAGGAAATATTTGCTACAAATGCACACAGAGTAAGGAAAGCCTACGGTGAGAGGCCACCTATCGTTAGGACCATACTTGTACTCCAGTAACCTGCCTCTACACTTACACCTGCCTCTACACTTACACCTGCCTCTACACTTACACCTGCCTCTACACTTACACCTGCCTCTACACTTACACCTGCCTCTACACTTACGGTCCCCTAGGAGGCCTTTGGCGGTGTCGTGTCCTTCAAGGTAAGAGGTGCGAGCCAGAGAAGGGTGTTGTACAGTCATGGGTTGGGGTTAAAAGTAGGGGATAGTGTAAGACAGTGAGTAGGTATACATTGGAATAGTATAGGGTAGTGGGAGGATGGAGAGTAAGGGAGGGGTTAGGATAGGTAAGTGGCTGCATGAGAATAGGAAGTTAAGAGCAAATATGGGGAACAGAGAAATGTAACAAGAATAGCCTGAGGAAATAGGAAAATAATCAACGAGACAAGAGAGAGAGAGAGTGAAAGAGGGAGAGAGAGCAAGTGAGAAAGGAGAGACAGGCTGGCTAGGGGAGTATACCCTCCAGCCTCTGTCACCCAAATCTGATTACCGACAAGTGATACCCGCGGCGAGGGGACAAATAGAGCAGAGGGAGATTGAGAGCGAGGGGAAAGGGAGAGAGAGAGAGAGAGGAAGAGATAAAGACGGAAGAGGGGAAGTGTATTAAGATAAATACAAACATATGCGGGAACTAGGCGAAGGAAACATATACAAGAAAAATATTATATGTATAATATAATATATATATATATATATATATATATATATATATATATATATATATATATATATATATATATATATATATATATATTATATATATATATATATATATATATATATATATATATATATATATATATATATATATATATATATATATATATATATATATATATATATATATATATATATATATATATATTATATATATATATATATATATATATATATATATATATATATATATATATATATATATATATATATATATATATATATATATATATATATATATATATATATATATATATATATATATATATATATATATATATATATATATATATATATATTAAAAACTCGAGGACAACTTAAAAAGAAGTTAGTAAATTTAATTACAAAAAGAAGATATAATAAATAATGGCGATAAACGTGACATGGAGAGGAATGAAAACTAAAGAAAAAATAAAGTAGTTCAAAATATGAAGGGAAAAGAGTTTGGAAACACAATATGAAAAGAAAGTAAAGTGCACTAAGAAATCGAATTCAGCTACGCTAGAGCAATGAGACAGAGGAGAAAGTTAAAGAAAGTAAGATGGAAAAATAAAGTAAAATAGGGGAAAGGCACAGAGAGGAAAGACACAAACAGCATGAGGAGGGAATGGCAAAGTCAATAGGAAGGGAAACGTTCTACACAGTGTGGAAAGATACAGACAGTAAGAGGGGAGAAGCAGAGACACCAGTAATGGACGGACAAAGAATGCAAGACGGAAAAAAAATTGGAACATTTCGTGTTGAAACACGAAAAAGTTTGGAGTTCTAGTTGATTTTTTACTTCGTGGATACTTACGAATGTAATATATATATATATATATATATATATATATATATATATATATATATATATATATATATATATATATATATATATATATATATATATATATATATATATAATTATATATAATATATCTATCTCAAATAATGAAAAAAGAGTATAACATCAGTGAGAGAATTAAAATAAACGCAAGACAAGCAGAGAAGAAAACACACTTTTGTTTAATTGCTTGTAACGTGTGACTGGAAACTCTAGGGACACGAAACATAGTATGAAACCCATAAATTTTGGCTCAAAGGGACGGGAGAGGAAATATTCAATAAAAGGAAGTAAACTGAGAGGAGAGGAGGAAGTAGTATGCGACGCTGGAAGGGTGGAGAGAGGATATTAAATAATTATAAATCCGGAGATCTTCTTAATGAAAACTGTTACCAAACGTCGCTACCTGGGAGATGTTTGATGGAATTTGCTTAAATTTCAATATCAAAATTTGTAAATTAGAATATCTGCATGTACAAGGTTAGAGGATAGGTGTTTGGGGCTAGCCTAATTCAATTTTTAACTGTAATTGCTGTTGGGTTGATGCTCAACAAGGGGGGAATCGGGAAAAGCATTAATAAAGCCAGGGTTCTCTTGTCACAGTGCCCAAGCGATTCCTAACAACGAATCTTGCAATATAATAACAAATAATTAGTAATTCAGAATAGTTATCATATTTTATAACATTACTCACAGATTTCCGCAAAATTGTCAAAAAATTATGTTATGCTTCAGCCATAATAGGCAAAAAATATTGGTGTCATCTTGCGACACACATAAACAATTGATAAATATACTTGACCTAATCGCTCTATAAATGCTTGAATTTTCATAATATGAAAAATTTTCATAATATGAAAAATTTTCATAATATGAAAAATTTTCATAATATGAAAAATTTTCATAATATGAAAAATTTTCATAATATGAAAAATTTTCATAATATGAAAAATTTTCATAATATGAAAAATTTTCATAATATGAAAATTCACACTACATATAAAACAGACATGAAAAATCATATTACAAACTACTGCGGTCTGATTAGGAAATATTAAATCGGTGAGCTCGGTGCATTGTTTAATTTATTAAGAGGGTAAAATATCTTATACAAAACAAATGTATAGAATTTCTTTCACCTTGATAGCCCTGTTCACCTAGCAGTAAATAGGTACCTGGGAGTTGGCTACCTACTACGGGCTGCTTTCTGGGGATGTGTGTGTACGTGCGTATGTTAGAAAGAAATATATGTAGTAGACATAATAGAGGAAAAATAAATTGGTTAGAAAGGCGGGGTCCAAGAGCTAATAACTCGATCCTGCAGATACATATAGCAAATAAAGACACACATATTTGTGTCAGTAATACGTAACAAATATCGTTCACATTCTATTACAAAAGAAATTTGTTAATTTTTTTAATTATCTTTTTCTTTCTGCTGTTGGATTAGGCCTACCGCAGACCCCGAGATAAAGGGAGTGAAATTTTATGCCGAGTCAATGACGGTTGAGCCTTGTCTCTCTCGATAACATTGACCTGTATTACTGTATTCTCCCGTAGACCAGTGACTCTAATTGTCACCTGTAGAACAGATGCTTGGCAATTACAATTGTCACCTGTGCACAAGAAGCTAGGTACCTACAGTCGTCACCTGTAGAACAGAGGATAAGTATATATATATATATACAACTCGTGGATACTATTAAGCTGCAAGAATTCTCACAATTGTTTACATTAGGGTCGCTATATCCTTAAACTAATGAGAATGTTTTGCTCTTTTGAGCGCAGAAAACAGGGATTCTTGTTGTCGTGCTCAAGGTCGATCTCGCAGCCCTCGGGGGCGGAGAAGGAGAAGTTCTGGAGGATGGCGGCAGTGAAAACATACAACTCCATCCTGGCCAGCGCCTCCCCCAAGCAGCTCCTCCGACCTGGGCCAAAGTACTTCTTAGTACACATTTTAGTATATCTCTCTTAGTACACAAACTTTGAAGTACACCACGTAAATCTTTAATTTCTCCAATGCACTTCTCAGATAGTTAATCAAGATATTTAGATACATTATTCATGACCGGATTTTGCGACAGAAAAACTGTTTATTTTAGCAAAAGAGTGAAAGGATAAACACTTACCCAGCCCAAAGGGCAAGAAGCCCTCCTTTTGCGCTGAGAAGTTTCCCTCGGCGTCTAAGAACCGGTCGATGTTAAACTGGTCGGGTTCCATCCAGTACTGTGGGTCCTCGTTACAACACACAGTACACCCGAACACCCAACTTCCCTGTAGAGGACGCAACACAACGCTCTCAGTGTTTCAACACCTAATGGTGCAAGATATTGGATAGTAAACTCTTGGTAATGACACAATAGAACACTCTCAGTGTTTCATCAGCGCCTGTTGCATGATATTGGGAACGAAATACACGAGAAACTTGCGAGGAGTGGATCAGTGAGTGAATTGGGAGAGGGGGAGAGAGAGGGGAGAGAGAGAGGGGAAGAGACAAGGGGGAGACAGAGGTGGAGAGAATTTACCTTCGGGATGAAGTAGCCCTCCAGATGGAGGTCGGAGTTCGTAGCGTGAGTGAACCCCAGAGGTATGATTGAGCTCTGACGGAGTACCTCGTGAATCATCGCCTCAACCACAGGCAGCCTGGAACATTGCGTCTTATAGCGACCCTATTCAACAGACATGAATTATATAATACATAGAATTATAAATAATTTAAAAAACTGAATGCTTCCAAGGCAATTACAACATGGTATTCGCCACATAGCAGTACCGTGTGTGTGTGATATATTTATATATAAATTTAAAGGTGTTGGTAGGTGTCTCCCGGGACGTACCTGGACTTACCTGGACTTGTGTTGGGTGGACGGCAAGGTGTCTCGCGAGACGACGTCGTCTATCTGCTGCTGCACGCGTCGCTGGACTTCGGGGTACTTGGCCATGTACAGGATGATCCAACGTAACATGCTCGACGTAGAGTCGAAGGCAGCAAAAAAGAGGTCCATCATGTTTCTCATAAGATCCTTTTCTAGTGGATAAAATTATATTTTTTACAGACAATAGCTGAACATGGTTTTAAGTCTTATCATTGTAACTTATTACGTGAGTATATTGTGAAAAATCTTATGTAAAATTAAATATATAAAGACAAACGTAAATATGTGTAAATCACAAATAAATTTACACGTGCTGGAGGCCAGACTCTTGGGGTTAGCCTCATTAAATATTGCGGGTTAATGGGGATTTTAAGGTTATCTAAGTAGGGAGAAGTTGAGGGAAGGGCGAATGTGCTGGAGAATGGGTGTGTTTGCAGGAGAAAATGGGGAGTGTTTGTAGGTGAACATAGGGAGAGTGTGTATTGGGACAGGGTTGGGATCAACAGGGATTCAAAAAAAGGGAAATCAGGCTTGACTAGCTCATGAGAGTTGAGGGCGAGATGACAACACTCAAACAGCAGAGAGAAAGGGTTGACTCGACTGCATTTTCCTGCAATGCCAGGAAGCTTTTGACACTTTCTCAAAAGAGACTCCTTAAGCTAACTCAAAAAAAGGTGTGTGTGGGTAGGAGACGGGTAGGGTGTGTGGAAGGAATGTGTGTGTGTGTGTGTGCAGGACGGCTGGTGTGAGTGCGCGTGTGAATCTAGATGGGTGTAGATGCGTATGTGCTTGTGGGTGGGAGTGGGTCAGTGTGTGTTTGTAGGTGGTTGTGGGTCCGTTTGTGCATGCAGGTGGGGGATACTACGCTTCTGCATGTTGGTGCATGGGCGAATACGTGTGTTTTTGTTCCTCGTGTGAATGCTGGGCCTCGCTCCATTGCTGTCTGTCTGTCTGTCTCTATGAATATCTGTGTATATGTCTTGTGGTCTGGTTGTACTCACCTAGTTGTGCTTGCGGGGTTTGAGCTCTGGCTCTTTGGTCCCCAGGTGCGATTGTCTGTGTGTCCCTTCATTCGCTTACAGATCAGACAAATCAACGCTTGACTCACCGCTGAAGAACTTGGCAATGTCATCTTTGGAGTCCATGGCCACAAGGTACTGGTCCACGACGTCCCGAGGATTATCTGGGTCGAGCTCGGCCCGATGCTCGGCCACCATCTCCTGCAGAGAGGATACATGTATACACGGACGACCCGAGAGAACGATACCTTCCGCAGACAATGATCATGTATACAGTGCCTCATTGTGAAGCTCCTCGTCCAGGATCACCCTCAGCCACTCAGGAAAAGTTATCATGTAACAGGAGACATTCCAGGGCAACCTGCCACCACCTGCATCATCCACTGAAAGTTTAAATATCCATTTGGAGACGTTTCATAGTAAACACCATCTTCACCCACTACAGGGAACAAGGGCAAGGCACTACTACCATCATCCATAACGATAGAGAAAGAAAAAGAGTGAAAACTTTCATTAACTACTCACCCTCGTTAATCGTATTGACTCATTATTCAAATTGTTAAGCATATCTTCGTGAAGAAGGCTTCCCCTTAGGAACTTTGGAATGAACATCTTGAGCCAGGGGATGTTCTCACACAGCATGACGAGCGCCGGCATGTTTTCGAAGTCTTTCATCAGCTTCATCAAAGACATGACTTCCTCATCAGCCAGGTCGTACCTTTTGCCTGAGGAACGGCTCCATTATTCACCATCAGCGTTAATTATTGTATATGATGCTATATCGTATATGTCCTATAGTAATATACAGCATTATGGGGTTCATTGAGAGGTAAACATCGCCCGTCGCAATTTATAAGGTGTTCTGTAGCGATTTATGCAATGCCATCTGACCCTCATTATAATGTTCCGGTAAAATTATTAAATTTATGTTTTGTTCAGCGAGTTCCTAAAAAATTACATTAAAATTATCATAACTTACATTCAAATAGAGGCATTTTTAATACGAATTTTCTTACATTTGCATTTTTAAGTTTAAGATCAAATCTTATGCTTTAAACTCCATATATATAAACAGAGAGTCACGGTTTATATATTTAGTTATCTGTAACCCAGGAACAACTTATAGTTTAGCTAGTAGAGTTGAGTGCGTTCTGAGGTGTAGCGCCTAAGATGGACTTACTTGCCACCATCTGCCACACGACGTTGAGGACCGCAATGTTGATGGACTTGGGGAAGGGTGTTGGCGCTCCGGTATATGTCTTCAGGTCCTCCACCAACATGTTGGCCTCCTGTAGGATGGCGTCCTCCAGGTAGGTCTTGCCCATGCCCAGGTCCTTCAGGTTACGCAACAGGAAGTTACGAGCGTTCTGCCACCTCTCCCCATTGGTCATGATCACTCCTGCAAGACCAACACAGTTAACCTGATTGGGGATCCACAGTAATCAAATAGTCCCTAATTGGACGAAGCTATCACGGATGATATACAAAATCTCTCAAATCCTCTTCATGAATCCTTAAATATTAAGGTTATCTTGGTTATCTTGAGATGATTTCGGGGCTTTTAGTGTCCCCGCGGCCCGGTCCTCGACCAGGCCTCCACCCCCAGGAAGCAGCCTGTGACAGCTGACTAACACCCAGGTACCTATTTTAATTACAGGTAACAGGGGCATAGGGTGAAAGAAACTCTGCCCATTGTTTCTCGCCGGCGCCTGGGATCGAACCCAGGACCACAGGATCACAAGTCCAGTGTGCTGTCCGTTCGGCCGACCGGCTCCCTTACGGTACGGTACGAGATGTTTGGGTGAGGACTCACCTGCGACCACTCCATCTGTCATCCTGTTGCACATGGGCATGAAGGGCCTGTCAGCCATCTCCTGCTTGCTGAAAGCCTCCATGATGAGCCGGTAGTTACACAGGAACATTATCTTATGCGATCCCAGCTCAGTCCTGTAATCAGATATGGGAATAAAATAGCGAATAACCTTAAAGAAACAATGTGCTTGAAGTTGAAATATCACACAAGTGGTAACAAACCAATATGAACTGCATGGGCTACACTGCGGAAGCTCCAAGGACTGGCATGAAAGATACAACGAAGTTATGAACATCAAAAGGAGCTTTGCCTCAGCTCAGTGCCCAACAGAGAGAGGACCTAACATCCTAATGGCGCAAACCTCGAACGATCCTGCACTTCGCCGAGATGGCATCATAATATACCCCTGGAAGAGGGGCAAACAGCTGGTGAGAGACTACACATGTGTATCCACCCAGTTATATATAATCTATACATATGACCTCGGTGCTGCTCAAGCAGGTGGTGCAGCCAACCACAGGAAAACAGCAAAATCAAACAAGTATATACAACTGGTCAATACACCTTTGTTTCCATAGTATCTAAGGCGCTCGACTCCTGGGGTGGGAGTGGCTTGAGCTTTTTCAAAGTATTGGGTTCTAGGCTCATTGACACCACCAGAGACCCAAGAGCTGGCCGTTTCAGCGCCTTAGTATGGCGATCCAGAGAAGGAAACGTTTGCTGCGTCCTTGGTTCCTGTCCAGAAACAGAGGAATTCCAAGACATTCACAGCTTTCAACTACGCTTTGTATTCGTCAATGTATTGATTTGTAACTTTTGAATATCTAAGAAAGTAAAACGAAGCTCAGAAAGGGGAAGGCAGGACAAAAGAACTTGGAAACTGTATTGGAGGGGACCCAAACATTCCTTCTAGTGCGTTGTATGTGCTTTTCTCTGAGGCTATGGGTCTCCTTCTTCCAACCAGAGGTGGTATTCCCCTCTATTTTATTGAGTATGTATAAGATATATATGTATGTATGTCCTACCTAATAGCCAGAATTTCACTATTTGGCTTAGTATGCAAGGCCCGATTTGCCTAACAGGGATTTTCCATTAGTGTCAAACATTATTTTCCAAATTGATTAATTCCAAATAATATTAATACTCTATATTAAGAACATGAAATACTGACTTAGTTGTGTTAGGTTAGGTTTGATTAAATTTTTATGTTGATTTTTTTTGTAATTTGTTAAAACTATGTATAATTTGTTAAAGCTTAATCATTCCATAAGAAATTTGACTAGAAAACTATAATGAAAATTCGGCTTTATATAACATGATATGGTGCGTAAGCAGACCAACAGACATAGTGTTTAAGAGTAAAACCCCAGCATCACAGTAGCGAGGGTTAATGGTATAGTCACGGTCAAAATATAATGAAAAATTTATTTTTAAAACTTTAAACAAAATTGCCTTGCGTTGCAGGATAATGTTTTAGCATTAGGGTGGGCTAACTTAACTGGATATAACGGCAGTTTGCTTTTCATTTACTCATTTAAAAATTTATATCACTGTTTGTATTACGTTCGTATTATTCTCAACTTAGCTTGTGTAACATGACTTTGAAAATACTTAAGAGACAATGTTCCCTCAAAACTGATTTTTTGAGAGATTTTGTAAGCTAAGTGAGATTTAAAACCATTATTTATAATAATAATAATAATAATAATAATAATACGAGGTCCTTGACAGACGTATCTAAAGCTGTTGAATGATTGCTAGACTGAGCCACAAATTTAATAAGATTATATTTAATTCACCAACCCAGTGGCTCGCATCCAGCCTCTTCATCACATACGACACACTGGTGGTCTATATGTATTTTACAAAAAATAAAAAATAAATAAACAGATAACTGTGCAAACAGCAAAAATGCATACCATCAATAATAAATAAGTTTTCTAAAAAAAAAAAAAAACAAGTTGACTACACTTACAAAACTATAAGGAACATCAATCATAAATTTACCTGAATATATCACCGTACTTTTTTCTGAGGGGCCTCACTTGGTTGACGGAGAAAATGGGGGTGCTCCCCAGGTATGGGATCACCAGCGGACCTGAGGAAAGAATACAGCGTGTCAATACTGGCGTGTTGACCTTCCATGGCCATTACAATCGTATGGAATGGCGAAGGAACGCGTCACAGAGACTTCTGCTTACACACATATACACACACACTCAAGACACACTTAAAACAATCTTATATATTGTGATTCATGAACTTCAACAGCCCTTAGTGACGGTTTCAGGCGGTGTAATACATGTGTATGATTCTATGGGACACAATACCTTTAGATGATATCAAGGGGTACAAATACTTTATGAATTCTGGGAAGCAGGACCTGATGATCCCTATTGTAGAGTGACCGACCGGGGTATGAAACCTGGCGTTGACCTCCACTGAGGAATAGCACTTAGTTACTCCCTGGGGTACAGCACAAGGGCACCAAGACTCACCTGGGGGCATGCCCTTGGGCCTGAGGAACCAGTACCGCAGCAGCACCACCAGCACCACAAACAGCACCACCTCCAACCACATGATGACGTGAAGCTGTTGCTGTTGGGAGTTACCGTCGCCTGCGGCAAGTTACCGTCGCCTGCGGCAAGTTACCGTCCCCTGCGGCAACACACCGTCACCTGCGGATTAAGAGAAAGTGCATATTTTCCCTACACTCTTAGAGTATGTAGTAATATCATTTGTTGTCAAAGACTGTTCCACGGAGCCCCTAACAAAAATAAGAAGAATGGCAGCTGACTGACGGCTCAAGAGGACGGGTTGATCTACTACCCTATCCCACTTTCAGACCTTCCCGGCCACTAGAGATATGTTGCTAGTTGTATATCGTCTCCATTGCATACGTCGCATAAATTGTATGGGAGGCAGAATGAATCTCTCTATCTGGAGAGATCCTGTCATCGGATGCTAGGTTTCACTCTCTTTTTGGACACTTATCATATGTCAGTAGGGCCACAGTCTCGTTTCTTGCAGGCCCAATCATTAGATATAAAATAATAGATGTATTTGACAGAGCTCTCTATTATCTATTGTATAATAGATGCTTTGTAAATCGTTTAGTAAGTTATCAGGCCACAAGCGAGGGAATCTGGAGCTTGAGATACACAAGCAGGTCAACCCCATCTTGCAGCCCATGCTATACAAGTCAAATACCGACTAACGTAAACAAATTTAAGTCCATATTGGACTTACATGTTATTAATCAGAAGCACCTTTGCTGTGCTGAGCGGGCCGTGGTTGCTAGGTTGCTAGGACATCCGCTTCTCATGATCCTTGTTCCACTCCTGGCTGTGGTCTCAAGGACAAGGGCGTCACTCAGCAAAACATATCAGACGCTTGTTCCGCCTACTCGTAGTTCTGGCTGGTTCTATGTCCATATTAGCTTCTGTTGTTATAGTTTGAGTGAAGATTCTCTCATTTATTATTCACTCAATCGCCACAGTTGAACTAAAATCTCATTCTTCGAAAATAAATTGCGAAAGTTAATTGTATTTAAAAAAAATAGAACATTTAGCAATGAGTTTAATAGAAAATAAATAACAAATTTGAAGGAATGGGACAGAATATCAATTCTTCAATAGCACAGACTAGTTTTACGTTAATTTAAACTATTTTTAACACAAACCTTGCGCCTGGCAGCCCTGCACGTGACGTTAGAAAATGTCGTACGCATTCTCTCTCCTCACTTAAGTGTTTTTCCTCATATAATTATGTTATCCTGTCTCTAATTTGAGCATTGCCTCAGTGGCTTGTAAACAAGGAGCTCATTGGTGACTCCGACACACAGATTCTCTCGCTGACCGTTGACAGAAGCATCAGTATGTATGTATGTACCACATACATATGGATGTACATTATATATATAATATACAGTACATATATGTATGTAGGTTACATATGATTCATAAGTTTTAAATGAAAGAATATTGATTAAAATGCTCCTTACACTCACACTGTGTTACCTCCACACGTCTCGTCCCACCCACACTTCCCCCTACACCCACACATCCCCCCCCACACCCAAACTCATACATGGGACACATCCCATATATGACAATCCATCCAACATGACAATCATCACTCATCATTTCCTCATATATTTGATTGCATCCCTGCATTACAACGACCAGAACAAAATATATATACATAAATTTATATGCGTATGATTGTATGTTTTATGTGTGAGTGCATGCATTTATGAATATGAATGATTGCCTGTTAGTATATATATGTATTTATGCACGTAGACAATATATAATCTACGTACATAAATTCATTTGTCCTTTACAAATATAGGCATTTGTGAAGGACAAGTTCGACTAACCTTTGGAGTAGATATGTCAGTATCTGGTTGAGAGAACTTCCTTTGTAGTCAGGAGTCGGACACCAGCACTCTAATGAACAAATCAACAAGGGCGGTGACGAGGATTCGAACCTGCGTCCGGGAGCATCCCAGACACTGCCTTAATCGACTGTCTTAATGATGTCAGCACTCTAATGACTGCGTATGGTGTAAATAGCCAAATTCCGGCGCCCTGATAACTGCGTAGGGTGTCAGGGGGCAGTCACCAACTTTCTGATGAGTGTGACTGGGTGTGTTGTCGGGAGCAACGCTGCCTGATAAGTGTGTGGCCGTTGGCACTGTTGCCAAAACTCGCCAGGAGTGTTGGCAAGAGTGAAGGGTGCAAGAGTGTGCTTGCCTGTTTTTACCGCTTCCGGTAAGTGAAGTAAGTTTAATAATGTACCCGAGTTTCCCCTTCTCTCTCTCTCTCTCTCTCTCTCTCTCTCTCTCTCTCTCTCTCTCTCTCTCTCTCTCTCTCTCTCTCTCTCTCTCTCTCTCCCTATCTATCTATGTATCTTGCTCTCTAATAGTGCTCTCTAATACATTTTTGTTCGTGATTTGTTAACGAGGTTGGCAAACCCTGCACTATAAATAGGAGCATAATATACATTAGTTTACTAGAGTCTGTCATCTAACTATTTATGACATTATGACTTGTGTCACGAAACCATTTGTTTTTCCTTAACACATCTATGAAATGATTTATTCTTTGTCAAAATCATGTACAAAATTTCATAAAATCATAGAAATCCCAATGATCTGCTCCTTCACTTTCCTGCCACTTTATCAAATCTCAATAAAGAAATGTTCGAAAGTCATTTAAACATATAATCAGTTAATAGCACAATCAAATATCAGAGTCGTTAATACTCATCAATTGCCTAAGACAGAAGTGAGTAATACTTTAGCGGACCAGCCAGATTCTTGTGGCCCGCGAAGGCATATTCCTGTCCAAAGAAAAGGGTAAGAAAAACCTCCATATAATCTGCTTTCCCTTCACCATCATCACCACCATCCCGACACTGTCACATCACCATCCGTCACTGTCCCGAACATCGACAACTCCGTCACCTTCACTTGTCGTCTCAGGTCTAATAAAGTCAACATATTGAGGGGTTGTCGCAAGTAATTTGGCGTCGTGGAGAAAGGTGTCCTTTGGGGACAGCTTGTAGAGTCTGGTGATGCTCAGACTACTAGCTGGTGGCTGTGATGGTGGTAGTTGTGGTGATGTTCATGCTGGTGGTAGCTGTGGTGATAATGTTAGTGGTGCTTGTGGTAGTGGTTATGTTACTGTAATGGGATTGTGGTAATTGCGGTTTAACTGGTTGTGGTGGTGGATTTATGGAGACCTGTATATTAGTGTTGAGGGAGGAAATAGATAGTTGTTGTGTTGTTTGTTGTGAAGATGATGCAGCAAAACAAGTTACAGTCGTGGTAGTGCTCATGATACTAACTGTGGTTGTGGATTGTGGTAGAGGAAAAAACAGTTGTGCATTTTAGTTGCTATTGCAGAGCTACAGCAACATATTCTTCCGAAATAATAGTTCTTATAGCAATAAGAACATCATTACTAGACCCAAGAATGTTTTAGTTTGGTTTTTAGCTTTTTCTCGGACAATAAAATTAATAGTACAAAACGTGATTTTTTTTGTTTAGGTCCAATAGTACATTCGACCGAATAGTTGCTCTCAGTACTTATCATTTTAGGAGCATGTGATAACGGCAATTATTATAGTAATACTCGAAGAGATTGCAATACTAATAAGCAGGGGATGTAATATTTAGCGAAGGTTGTAATATTATTAAGCGAAGGTTGTAAAATAAAGTGAAGTTTAATTTTGGATTAATACAGGCCGAGCTAACTGGGGGAAATGATGTTCTAACAGTTTAATAAACGTCTTTGAATCCTCCAAAAAAGGGATGAGCTGCCTCACTCGTCAGTATCTAAATTATGTGACGTGTGGACGTGCCTCGTCTCACTCCTCGGGAGAGGTGACGAGCCCCTCACCCCTCTCTGGCGTGAAGCTCGCGATGTCGCCCTTATGTAAATATTTTCATTGTACGAAATTTCTTTTCACTTTCAACATGCAACGGGAGAGTGTTTGGTCTGAGCGCTGAGGATGTCCGACGTAAAAATGTGAGAGAAGCAGTAATAGCCTTCAGGTTACTCCTGCTGTGAGGGGCCCGGTCTCTCCTGCTGGGGGATAGATCTTCCCCAAATTCCCCAACACTCAGTATCATGTTGACTTTGCGTCTCAGCGCCTGGTACGGCTGCTCACAAAGTTCACAGCTCATCGTCACCTTCCAGATAGTTTCGTCACCCTTCATCAGGAACCACCAGCCCCTAACCCCTCGACATCTGCTGAAAGATGGTTGTAAATCACAGCTGGAAATGCAACACCGAGACAGCCCAGAAGAGAAGAAAACTGGAACAAATGAGGAGTAACTGAAGGAGATAATATGGAAGAGAGCAAGTTGTGTAGGACTCAGTAATCCCCCACGAGGACTGGGAGACTCACCAGCCGCTCACAACAAGATGCCGCCACTCCTCCGGATGGACACCTTCACAGACTCCTCACATCCCAAAATCTTTGCCAAAGTGTTTTTTCCTTTTCCGAGGATTTTGTCGAAGTATCGGGAATAATAGACATTTATCTTAGCAGGGAAGCTGGCATCGTCCTATAAGAGTCATCATTATTTAATCTTTATCCCCCCAAAAATGAAATTTAACCTCATAATAATAATAGTGTCAATAGACTAGTCATCTGAGGAATATTCATCTGAAGACGTTACGGATACTTCTCAGGTTTTTCGATGCGGTTTTGGACCTTAGCTTTGTTTTCTTCAAACTATCTTTCTCTTCTCAATAATATCCTTCATTTGTTGCCCCTAACACTGCATCCAGCACCCACTAACCATCCAACCACTAACTCGTCACTAAGTCGTCACTAACCTACCAATAACATGCCACCAACCAACCAACCAACCAACCACCACCAAAAATACACCATGTATTTCCTATACAACATTATATTTTTCAATTCTATACTAATTTCGGGGTATATTTATAAATATTTTAAAGGCATAAAAGTTGAAATATGTCAATTAATCCCCTGACCGTCCTGTGTATCTTTTCAATTAGCATATTAAAAATAGCCACCAACACGGTAATTAGAATTATTTAAATAATTATGCCAAAAATGTGTGCACGATAATTATGTGTTGTATTTGATATCACAACCCGTGGGCAGCTCTGTTGGGTTGGGCTCTCGTATAGCTGGGTCTCTATTAGGTCTGTCATGTGGTAAGGTCTCTATTAGGTCTGTCATGTGGTAAGGTCTCTATTAGGTCTGTCATGTGGTAAGGTCACTATTAGGTCATGTTGTAACGTATCGGAAAAAAATGCAAAGAAATTCAAAATAAAAGTGTGAACACAGGGTGAGGGAGGTAGAGAGGTGTGAGGAATGAGTGGTCAGGGAAAAGGGAAAGTTTAGACTGAAAAGGAGAGGCTGAGATCAAGAAGGAGATTGGAAGAGAAGAAAGTAAGAGTGCTAGAATAGTAGAAAGATAGAAAGGTTGAGGGATGAGAAGTTGATGAGAGGCTTGGGGAACTATGAGGCCAGTATAATGAGAGGCTTGGGGCACTATGAGGCCAATATAATGAGAGGCTTGGGGCACTATGAGGCCAATATAATGAGAGGCTTGGGGCACTATGAGGCCAATATAATGAGAGGTTTGGGGCCATGTGTAGTTGTGCAACAATGTGCGGTATTTACGAGCGGTTGGAATATATTCTGTTTATTATAGTGGTGAGTTTAGGTTGCATAAGGACGTTTTGCTGGCATTTTCAAGGAGTGTTGAACGTATCCCTATTATCTTAAATTCACACAGGGAGCGTCCTACCACTTGGACTGGATGGTTGAGCGACGGTACTCATCCACTTGCAGGTCGGCGTTCAATCCCCCTGATTGGGCAAGTGGTTGGGCACCATTATATTCCTCCATCCTGTCTTGCATCCTTATCCTTATTATCCCCTACAAATGCTATATAGCTGTAATTGCTTAGTGTTTTCATGTGATAATTACCTTACCTTCACACTGCGGGCCCACAGTTCTTCTGTTGTAATGACGTGTCTAAGAATGATACTGGAAATTGTCCATAAATTTCAGAATGCAGTTTTCATTTGTTCTTTTATGGTCGTATTGTGCTGCCTTAGGGAACTTTCTGTGGATACATTTGTTACATTTAAGGCTAAGTGATGAATACATGGTAGTGCCCCGAATCTTCTTGATGTTGCAACAGGAGAATCACATAATTACCCAAAGCTAAATCAGATAGTAAACAAAAACTTTACTGGTTCCTGTTTTTCCACAATGACAGAGCTATAATGATCAACCCAGTCAGACTGGAGCTTCATCCTAGCCCCAAGCGTCGTGAAGCGTGTGAGGTGGTTTGTCGATATGTGATATGTCGAAGGATTTCAGAGTCGTGTCTGACGAAATAGAGTTTTAACGGCAATGTTACCTTAATTTCTGACGTAAAAAATTAGTAGGAAGACTGACAGAAGCATAATGTTATACGCCATGAAGGAGCTAAAATTTGTGTTTGGCCTCGAGTGTTTCTTATGAACGACTTCATAGTGGTTTGGAGTTGGTAAACGGTTTACTATATACTGACTAACCAGCCACGACCAAAATAAAATGTACATATATCGTAAGTGGTAACTTCAATGTTCTGTAAATTCTAGTCCTGGTTCCAGGTAAGGCTGGGTAATTCTGAAGAGCAAGCACTAAGCCATTATGAATATTTAAATTTCCTGGTTCCGGTAAATTCCTACTTGGTAAATTCCTACCAAACCTGCCCCCCGCACAAGCCACAGCTGCCAAATGGAGTTCCCATTACGATACAAGACCACCAACATGAACCAATCTACACAACATGCCAGATTAATCTTTCATTTCGGGATGTACGCGGAGTGGGGGGAGGAGGGAGACTGTTGTTTTCATTTTTTCAGCTTAACTCTGATGGACGTGTAAGTGCCAATGTGCAATTTGCCGAAGTATTCCACCTGTAGTGGAATTATGCTGGTCTGTGGGATTATTCACGTTGATTGCAAAGAGATCAATAAGTCGCCCAGGATGCAGTGATGGAGGCAAATATACCAGCTCAAACTGAAGTAAGTATGACAAGCAGTTGGGGAAGGATTAGTAATTAACGCCACAACATAGAACAAAAACAATGACAGAAGAAAAAGTATTGAACAAGTTCATTGTTAGAATA